AACTCCTTCTGTGTATACTCACTCACATAATGTGCTTACCTCCTCAGTTGTGGCTGGCTCATCCTCATTTTGTGCTCGTCCTCCCATCCGCCTAGAGTTCCCCTCTTTCGGCGATTCCTGCGAGACTGCAGAAGTGCCCAACTTCATTGAGCAGTGCGAGAACTTCCTGGAGATCAGGCCTCTCCCCAGCATTCTCAGCGTGGAATGGTCAAGTTGGTGGGACTATTTAAGTTGGATTTCCTCACAGGACAGCGCTGTTCCTCAACGTGCTCCCGGACTCTATACAAGTTCACCCGTGAGGCCGAACTGAACCCACACACACACCCTGACACCCACATACTATTGGACTTTCAAGGACAGTACGCACACATACATCGATTGTATATAACGTTTTTTTTGTCTTCTTGTGAAATAAAGGCCAAGGTAACAGATTGGCAGTCCTTCAAAAAGGCATTCATGGCGGATTTTCTTTCAGACGATTACCTCTCTGAGGTGGCGGAGAAGCTGAGGACATTGGTCCAGCAGCCGCGACAACGCCTGAGGGACTTCGCCTATGATTACCAGGTTCTCTGTCTGAAATGGAAGCCAGAGATCTCTGAGGAAGAGCAGGTCAACCGCATCCTCAACAACATCAACCCGAGAGTTGCAGGATGCCTACGCGGGACCGTGAACACCGTGGAGCAGCTGGTGAAGGTTGGTTCAATGGTGGAAAGGGATTGCATGGGAGCGAAGGACTACTGGCAAAAAGTTGGTACACAAGTGGGCAAGGAGAAAACGAAAAAGCTTGCAGAGCGTACAAACAGCAAAAACCTGGCCGGACTGAGAGCAAAGAGAAAACGAAGAAGCTGGCAGAGCGTACAAACAGCAAAAACCTGGATGGACTGACCCTGGCACAACCCCATCCAGTCACATCTCTCCTCATCATTCCTGTAAGGGGGAATGGACAGGAGGTGAAGGCGGTCTTTGACACGGGAAGTACTTACACCTTGATGCAGAAGAGCCTGTGGAAACAGCTGAAGACTGAGAGTCCACCAGTCATTACCTCGGCCTCGCAGAGATTCTTAATGGCAGATGGAACGATTCACCAATCCAGAGACCTGCAAAAGTTTCTGTATCACTGGCATGATCAAGAGTGCTTGGTGGATACATATATACTGAAAGATAATCACCTTGCCTTTCCCCTTATTGCTGGGTTGGACTTCCTGAATGCCAGTGGAGCTGTGTTGGAAGTGGGACAAAGCAGATATGGCTTAAGATCTGGAAAAGACTACACATTACCCTTTCCTGCCATCACAGGTTCCATTAAGTCTGTCTCCACCCTCGGGACAAGCTCATTCCCTCACAGCTGCTGAGTTGAATTTATACTACGCCAACAACTGGCAGACTTCCTGAACTCATGTCCTTCACCCCAGAGATTACACAATGGGACTCTGACAATCAGGAAGAGTTGAGGCAGTTGATCTCCACCTGGCCACGCACCACTTCAAACATCCTGGGTAAAACATCAGTAGTACAACACAAGATTACTTTGACAGACGATATACCTATCAAATCCCGGGCATACAGAGTTTCGCCCCTCAAAAAACAGATAATTGAGGAACAAGTTGACCAGATGATCCAAAACAACATCATTGAGCCCTCCTTCTCGCCTTGGTCTTCACCAGTGGTGCTGGTCCCCAAACCTGATGGATCGTACAGGTTCTGTGTGGATTACAGAAAGTTAAATAGTAAGACCATACCGATGCTTACCCAATGCCTCTGATTCATGACATCCTGGAATCCCTGGAAGGCGCCTCCTGGTTCAGTGCATTGGATCTGCGGTCCGGATACTGGCAGGTGGAGATGAAGGAGGCGAGTAAAGAGAAGACCGCTTTTATTACCACCAAAGGGCTATTTCAATTCAAGTTTATGCCTTATGGTCTCAGAAACTCTGCAACCACCTTCCAACATTTGATGGAAAGAGTTCTGGCGGACTTGAGGGGGAAAATTTGTTTTGTCTACATCGACGACATTATCATCTATTCAAAAACATTAGATCGACACATCCAAGACCTTAATACTGTTCTCCACAATCTCACCCAAGCCAACCTGACGCTGAACATGAAGAAATGCCACTTCTTCAAGCAACAGCTCAAGTTCCTCGGTCATATAGTTTCCAAGAGGGGTGTGGAGATTGACCATGAGAAGACCAAGGCCGTGGCCGAGTTCCCTCCTCCGCAAGACCTCAGAGCTCTGCAACGATTCCTGTGCTTGACCGGGTGGTACCATAAATTCATTCCCCACTTCGCTGCCATCACAACTCCTTTCTTTTTGAGGTGGTTCAATGGAGCAAAGTGGGAGTTGACTCCAGAATGTCAAGATAGCATGAATGCACTTAAACAAGCATTACAAAACTCACCTGTACTCATCCAACCAGACCTCAACAAAAACTTCCAAGTGCATACGGACGCGAGTGATCTAGGACTGGGTGCTATCCTCACTCAACATTCTGTGGAAGGAGAAAAGGTGATGGCATATGCCTCACTGACTTTAACAGGCACAGAAAGAAATTATAGTACGTCTGAAAAATAATGTTTAGCTGTGGTTTGGGCTGTTGAAAATTGGAGGCATTACCTGGAGGGGAGGCCGTTTGATGTCTTTATGGATCATGCTGCACTTGCCTGGGCCTTCAACTGCCCCAAAACCTCCTCACGCCTCACACGCTGGACTCTCCGGCTGCAACAATTCAACTTTCAAGTCCATCACAGGAAAGGCTGCCTCAACATGGGGCCAGATGCCTTGTCCAGGGTATGCGAGACACCTACTAGTCATGCTGTCCCATGTCTTTCCATAACTTCTCATCACCTTACCACATTCATTAGAAGAAATTGCTAAAGCTCAAGGTTTGGATCATACCATCACTCACGTGCAGCTGGTACTATCAGCTGGTGCTACCACAGACACTGAAAACTGACTTCATGCACTATTACCATGATAATCCCCTAGGAGGCCATCTTGGACAGCTAAAAACCCTGCTGAAAGTGGCATGGTGGCCGTCCGTCAGGAGGGATGTTTGGCACACATCAAAAGCTGTGAGGTATGTCAGAAATACAAACCCAGCAATACAAAACCATCTGGACTTTTACAAAGTTCACAGATCACTGAGCTGGGACACACTCTAGGGATTGATCTAATGGGTCCATTCCCCACCAGTAAGAAACAGAACACTTACCTCCTTGTCATTGTGGACTATTTCAAGAAGTGGGTGGAGATGTTTCCACTTCGGGATGCCAAGACCCAGAAAATAGTGAAAATCCTCAGTGAGGAGATTTTTACTCGTTGGGGAGTCCCTAAGTTCCTGGTGTCTGACCGGGGTCCCCAGATCACCTCCAGCATTCTGGGCGATCTGTGCAAGACATGGGGTTGTGTTCAGAGACTAACAACAAACTATCACCCACAAGCAAACCTAACAGAAAGAATCAACCGGACTGTAAAAACAATGATTGCTGCATATGTTGGACAACAACATCAAACCTGGGACCAGTGGCTACCAGAATTCTGCTATGCCATCAACACCGCCCAGCAGGAAAGCACGGGGAAGACCCCGGCTGAGATCATGCTGGGTAGGCAAGTGCTGGGACCTCTGGAACGCCTAATCCACCGACCACCTTCACCTGATCAAGCTGCGTATTCCCTGGTGGAACGACAGAACATCATGGCGGAGAAGGTGAAAAACAGGATGAGGATGAGGATGACCCAAGCCAAACAAGCGAGGTATTATAATTACCGTAGAAAAAATGCGCAGTTTCAACCGGGTGACCTAGTTTGGGTAAAAACCCATCCTCTTTCCAGTGCCTCTATCAAAATCTCTGCCACGCTAGCGCCAAAGTGGGAGGGTCCAGCTGAAATAAAAAGTAAAACAGGGCCAGTAAATTACACTGTGTGCTGGGGCAACCCACCAAAAACAGATGTGATGAATGTGGTTAATTTTAAGTGTTATTATGGACGCTCACCTCCGACGCCGTTGGCTGGGGGGGGATCTATGTAGCACGGCCACATAAGAGGGATATATTTATAAAGCTGTTGATTAAATGCTCATTTGATTGTTGATGAGTCACAGCTGTTATTTATGTCTCTTTGTTTGTATTGCCCCATCGAGTGTTGTGGACCCCGTTTCTTCGTTCGCTCACGACGTGTCAGGGAATGGCGTGACGTCACATGGATCAGATGAGTTGACACTTCCGATAAAAGAAGCCGGTTAGCAGCGTTCAAAAGCTACGCTCAATGTGCTCACTTGGGGATACATACAACAATCGATCGTCTCTTACGTTCTTCTGTTATTTGCTGTGACTATTGTGGAATTCTCAGCGTGGAATGGTCAAGTTGGTGGGATTATTTAAGTTAGATTTCCTCACAGGACAGCGATGTTCTTTCTACTTTCTATCACGACTCTGCTGTTCTTCGGCTGGTCCTTCCCTGTATTGATTGACAGATGTCTCGTTTAGTCAGCGGTGAGTAATCCCAAACCAATGGCGCTGTCTCAAACTATACCTACCTCTTCCGGTTTGTCTGATTTGTCGTTGTGTTTTCTTACTTGTAAATTGGTTTTCAGATTTGTCGTGTTGTTTTCTGACTTGTTATTTTGTTTTCTAATTTGTCGTTGTGTTTTCTGACTGGTTATAATGTGTTCTGAATTGTTGTGCTTTCTGAATTGTTATTTTGTTTTTTAGACTTGCATTTGTAATTTGTAATTTGTTATTTTGTTTTCAGAATTGTGATTTGCTTTGCACTTCTCAGCCACCGTAAAGTTCATATGAAAACAATTTGACCTGTTCTTTAATTTTTTGGAAGAGAAAATGGTGGGACTGTTAAACACAGGTACAATGAATAACACATGGAGATGTGGCATTGATTCACACTAGTTTGGATTAATGTGAAAAGAACTCTTTAACACAGAGATTTAACATGGTCACCAAGATGTAGATAACACCAGCAGTGCTATTTTATTAACTTTTAATGTTAAAATAAAACTAACACTGTGTATTTGACAGTCCCTGAAAATGTAACACTAATGATTTTGCTTTGTACTGATCAAATTATTTCAAGATAGTGATGGCACACTTCTCTCCAGTTATTACACGATTCTTGATCTTCCCACCTGTATTGGGAAATCTACTTACCCTCCATTAAGAAAAAAGTTGATCTAGTTCCCATATTCACATATTTATAATTTTTTGGTGGCATCTAAAGCTGTTATCTCCTAAAGTGAATCTTCACGTGTTCATTAAGGGTTACTTTACGTCTGAAACACTTTCCACACTGATCACATGTGAACGGCTTCTCTCCGGTGTGGATGTCCATGTGAGTCTTCAGAGATCCGTTTCGTGAGAAACTCTTCCCACACAGTTTGCAGGTGTGAGGGTTTTCTCCAGTGTGAACTCTCATGTGGGAATCAAGAGAAGGTTTATATCTGAAACTCTTTCCACACTGAGAGCATGCGTAAGGCTCCTCTCCCGTGTGAACTCTCATGTGAATCTTGAAGCTTACTTTATGAGCGAAACTTCTTCCACACTGCTGACATAAAAAACAGTCCTCTCTTGAGTGAATCCTCATGTGGGAATTAAGGATGTCTTTGTGTGTGAAACTCTTCCCACACTGATCACATGTGAACGGCTTCTCTCCGGTGTGGATACCCATGTGTTTTTTAAGGTTCCCTTTTTGAGTGAAACTGTTTCCACACTGTTGGCAGATGAAACGCTTCTCTCCCGTGTGAATTCTCATGTGGCTTTTAAGGTTCCCTTTTTGACTGAAACTCTTTCCACATCGTTGACAGGTGTACGGTTTCTCTCCCGTGTGAATTCTCATGTGGATTTTAAGGTTTTGTTTTTGACTGAATCTCTTTCCACACTGATGGCAGGTGCAAAACCTGTACGATTTCTTCTGGGCTCTTTTTCGTGAGGAAGTCTTTTCGGTCTTTGTGGATTTTTTCCCAGTTATGAAATCATGATATTCTTCTTCCATTTCATTCAGTTCTTGACTCTCTTCTTTCAGTGGCATCAGGTCTACAGTGAAAAAAATTCAAACAAATACATGTTAACCCCATGCTGTAAAATTGACTAACACTGTTTTCCATTACAATAGTACTATACTGTAAGAAAAAAAATCAATTATGGGAAATATTGGCCTTTTCCTACATGCCGCAATATACTGTGAATAGTGTTGCATTTTGGGGTTTATTTGGAATCAATGGAAAAGAGCATGAATACAGAACACTACTGTAAACAACAAAATCCTCAGTGTTAAATGAACATTCATCAGTGATAAAGTGTTGCGGCTGTGTCAAAGTGCCCTTGCATTCAGTTTACCTTCAATCTGATTTGTTCACGGGAGTTGTGAAGTTGGGAGTACGTTCTCAGTTTCCCATAGAAGGAGTAGGTACAGTGGGGCAAATAAGTATTTGATACACTGCTGATTTTTCAAGTTTTCCCACTTACAAAGAATGGAGAGATCTGTAATTTTCATCGTAGGTACACCTCAACTGTGAGAGACAGAATAAAAAAAAAATCCAGAAAATCACATTGTATGATTTTTAAATAATTAATTTCCATTTTATTGCATGAAATAAGTATTTGATCACCTACCAACCAGCAAGAATTCTAGCTCTCACAGACCTGTTAGTTTGTCTTTAAGAAGCCCTCCTATCCTCCACTCATTACCTGTATTAATTGCACCTGTTTGAACTTGTTACCTGTATAAAAGACACCGAGAACGAGTGACATCTCGCCTCGTGGAGTATCAATGATCCTGAGAAAGGTGAGGGATCAGCCTAGAACTACACGGGAGGACCTGGTCAATGACCTGAAGAGAGCTGGGACCACAGTCTCAACGGTTACCATTAGTAACACACTACACCGTCATGGATTAAAATCCTGCAGCGTGGGCAAGGTCCCCCTGCTCAAGCCAGCACATGTCCAGGCCCGTCTGAAGTTTGCCAAAGACCATCTGGATGATCCAGAGGAGGCATGGGAGAAGGTCATGTGGTCAGAGGAGACCAAAATAGAAGTTTTTGGTATAAACTCCACTCAACGTGTTTGGAGAAGACCGCTTTTATTACCACCAAAGGGCTATTTCAATTCAAGTTTATGCCTTATGGTCTCAGAAACTCTGCAACCACCTTCCAACATTTGATGGAAAGAGTTCTGGCGGACTTGAGGGGGAAAATTTGTTTTGTCTACATCGACGACATTATCATCTATTCAAAAACATTAGATCAACACATCCAAGACCTTAATACTGTTCTCCACAATCTCACCCAAGCCAACCTGACACTGAACATGAAGAAGTTCCACTTCTTCAAACAACAGCTCAAGTTCCTCTGCCATATAGTCTCCAAGAGGGGTGTGGAGATTGACCACGAGAAGACCAAGGCCGTGGCCGAGTTCCCTCCTCCGCAAGACCTCAGAGCTCTGCAACGATTCCTGGGCTTGACCGGGTGGTACCATAAATTCATTCCCCACTTCGCTGCCATCACAACTCCTTTCTTTTTGAGGTGGTTCAATGGAGCAAAGTGGGAGTTGACTCCAGAATGTCAAGATAGCATGAATGCACTTAAACAAGCATTACAAAACTCACCTGTACTCATCCAACCAGACCTCAACAAAAACTTCCAAGTGCATACGGACGCGAGTGATCTAGGACTGGGTGCTATCCTCACTCAACATTCTGTGGAAGGAGAAAAGGTGATGGCATATGCCTCACTGACTTTAACAGGCACAGAAAGAAATTATAGTACGTCTGAAAAATAATGTTTAGCTGTGGTTTGGGCTGTTGAAAATTGGAGGCATTACCTGGAGGGGAGGCCGTTTGATGTCTTTATGGATCATGCTGCACTTGCCTGGGCCTTCAACTGCCCCAAAACCTCCTCACGCCTCACACGCTGGACTCTCCGGCTGCAACAATTCAACTTTCAAGTCCATCACAGGAAAGGCTGCCTCAACATGGGGCCAGATGCCTTGTCCAGGGTATGCGAGACACCTACTAGTCATGCTGTCCCATGTCTTTCCATAACTTCTCATCACCTTACCACATTCATTAGAAGAAATTGCTAAAGCTCAAGGTTTGGATCATACCATCACTCACGTGCAGCTGGTACTATCAGCTGGTGCTACCACAGACACTGAAAACTGACTTCATGCACTATTACCATGATAATCCCCTAGGAGGCCATCTTGGACAGCTAAAAACCCTGCTGAAAGTGGCATGGTGGCCGTCCGTCAGGAGGGATGTTTGGCACACATCAAAAGCTGTGAGGTATGTCAGAAATACAAACCCAGCAATACAAAACCATCTGGACTTTTACAAAGTTCACAGATCACTGAGCTGGGACACACTCTAGGGATTGATCTAATGGGTCCATTCCCCACCAGTAAGAAATGGAACACTTACCTCCTCGTCATTGTGGACTATTTCACGAAGTGGGTGGAGATGTTTCCACTTCGGGATGCCAAGACCCAGAAAATAGTGAAAATCCTCAGTGAGGAGATTTTTACTCGTTGGGGAGTCACTAAGTTCTTGGTGTCTGACCGGGGTCCCCAGATCACCTCCAGCATTCTGGGCGATCTGTGCAAGACATGGGGTTGTGTTCAGAGACTAACAACAAACTATCACCCACAAGCAAACCTAACAGAAAGAATCAACCGGACTGTAAAAACAATGATTGCTGCATATGTTGGACAACAACATCAAACCTGGGACCAGTGGCTACCAGAATTCTGCTATGCCATCAACACCGCCCAGCAGGAAAGCACGGGGAAGACCCCGGCTGAGATCATGCTGGGTAGGCAAGTGCTGGGACCTCTGGAACGCCTAATCCACCGACCACCTTCACCTGATCAAGCTGCGTATTCCCTGGTGGAACGACAGAACATCATGGCGGAGAAGGTGAAAAACAGGATGAGGATGAGGATGACCCAAGCCAAACAAGCGAGGTATTATAATTACCGTAGAAAAAATGCGCAGTTTCAACCGGGTGACCTAGTTTGGGTAAAAACCCATCCTCTTTCCAGTGCCTCTATCAAAATCTCTGCCACGCTAGCGCCAAAGTGGGAGGGTCCAGCTGAAATAAAAAGTAAAACCGGGCCAGTAAATTACACTGTGTGCTGGGGCAACCCACCAAAAACAGATGTGATGAATGTGGTTAATTTTAAGTGTTATTATGGACGCTCACCTCCGACGCCGTTGGCTGGGGGGGGATCTATGTAGCACGGCCACATAAGAGGGATATATTTATAAAGCTGTTGATTAAATGCTCATTTGATTGTTGATGAGTCACAGCTGTTATTTATGTCTCTTTGTTTGTATTGCCCCATCGAGTGTTGTGGACCCCGTTTCTTCGTTCGCTCACGACGTGTCAGGGAATGGCGTGACGTCACATGGATCAGATGAGTTGACACTTCCGATAAAAGAAGCCGGTTAGCAGCGTTCAAAAGCTACGCTCAATGTGCTCACTTGGGGATACATACAACAATCGATCGTCTCTTACGTTCTTCTGTTATTTGCTGTGACTATTGTGGAATTCTCAGCGTGGAATGGTCAAGTTGGTGGGATTATTTAAGTTAGATTTCCTCACAGGACAGCGATGTTCTTTCTACTTTCTATCACGACTCTGCTGTTCTTCGGCTGGTTCTTCCCTGTATTGATTGACAGATGTCTCGTTTAGTCAGCGGTGAGTAATCCCAAACCAATGGCGCTGTCTCAAACTATACCTACCTCTTCCGGTTTGTCTGATTTGTCGTTGTGTTTTCTTACTTGTAAATTGGTTTTCAGATTTGTCGTGTTGTTTTCTGACTTGTTATTTTGTTTTCTAATTTGTCGTTGTGTTTTCTGACTGGTTATAATGTGTTCTGAATTGTTGTGCTTTCTGAATTGTTATTTTGTTTTTTAGACTTGCATTTGTAATTTGTAATTTGTTATTTTGTTTTCAGAATTGTGATTTGCTTTGCACTTCTCAGCCACCGTAAAGTTCATATGAAAACAATTTGACCTGTTCTTTAATTTTTTGGAAGAGAAAATGGTGGGACTGTTAAACACAGGTACAATGAATAACACATGGAGATGTGGCATTGATTCACACTAGTTTGGATTAATGTGAAAAGAACTCTTTAACACAGAGATTTAACACGGTCACCAAGATGTAGATAACACCAGCAGTGCTATTTTATTAACTTTTAATGTTAAAATAAAACTAACACTGTGTATTTGACAGTCCCTGAAAATGTAACACTAATGATTTTGCTTTGTACTGATCAAATTATTTCAAGATAGTGATGGCACACTTCTCTCCAGTTATTACACGATTCTTGATCTTCCCACCTGTATTGGGAAATCTACTTACCCTCCATTAAGAAAAAAGTTGATCTAGTTCCCATATTCACATATTTATAATTTTTTGGTGGCATCTAAAGCTGTTATCTCCTAAAGTGAATCTTCACGTGTTCATTAAGGGTTACTTTACGTCTGAAACACTTTCCACACTGATCACATGTGAACGGCTTCTCTCCGGTGTGGATGTCCATGTGAGTCTTCAGAGATCCGTTTCGTGAGAAACTCTTCCCACACAGTTTGCAGGTGTGAGGGTTTTCTCCAGTGTGAACTCTCATGTGGGAATCAAGAGAAGGTTTATATCTGAAACTCTTTCCACACTGAGAGCATGCGTAAGGCTCCTCTCCCGTGTGAACTCTCATGTGAATCTTGAAGCTTACTTTATGAGCGAAACTTCTTCCACACTGCTGACATAAAAAACAGTCCTCTCTTGAGTGAATCCTCATGTGGGAATTAAGGATGTCTTTGTGTGTGAAACTCTTCCCACACTGATCACATGTGAACGGCTTCTCTCCGGTGTGGATACCCATGTGTTTTTTAAGGTTCCCTTTTTGAGTGAAACTGTTTCCACACTGTTGGCAGATGAAACGCTTCTCTCCCGTGTGAATTCTCATGTGGCTTTTAAGGTTCCCTTTTTGACTGAAACTCTTTCCACATCGTTGACAGGTGTACGGTTTCTCTCCCGTGTGAATTCTCATGTGGATTTTAAGGTTTTGTTTTTGACTGAATCTCTTTCCACACTGATGGCAGGTGCAAAACCTGTACGATTTCTTCTGGGCTCTTTTTCGTGAGGAAGTCTTTTCGGTCTTTGTGGATTTTTTCCCAGTTATGAAATCATGATATTCTTCTTCCATTTCATTCAGTTCTTGACTCTCTTCTTTCAGTGGCATCAGGTCTACAGTGAAAAAAATTCAAACAAATACATGTTAACCCCATGCTGTAAAATTGACTAACACTGTTTTCCATTACAATAGTACTATACTGTAAGAAAAAAAATCAATTATGGGAAATATTGGCCTTTTCCTACATGCCGCAATATACTGTGAATAGTGTTGCATTTTGGGGTTTATTTGGAATCAATGGAAAAGAGCATGAATACAGAACACTACTGTAAACAACAAAATCTTCAGTGTTAAATGAACATTCATCAGTGATAAAGTGTTGCGGCTGTGTCAAAGTGCCCTTGCATTCAGTTTACCTTCAATCTGATTTGTTCACGGGAGTTGTGAAGTTGGGAGTACGTTCTCAGTTTCCCATAGAAGGAGTAGGTACAGTGGGGCAAATAAGTATTTGATACACTGCTGATTTTTCAAGTTTTCCCACTTACAAAGAATGGAGAGATCTGTAATTTTCATCGTAGGTACACCTCAACTGTGAGAGACAGAATAAAAAAAAAATCCAGAAAATCACATTGTATGATTTTTAAATAATTAATTTCCATTTTATTGCATGAAATAAGTATTTGATCACCTACCAACCAGCAAGAATTCTAGCTCTCACAGACCTGTTAGTTTGTCTTTAAGAAGCCCTCCTATCCTCCACTCATTACCTGTATTAATTGCACCTGTTTGAACTTGTTACCTGTATAAAAGACACCGGTCCACACACTCAATCAATCAGACTCCAACCTCTCCACTATGGGCAAGACCAAAGAGCTGTCTAAGGACGCATACAGGTATATAAGATGGCAGGAATGCATCCATTCATTCTGGTTTATGCTGAGGAGCCGAGAGCTTGTTTCTGTCATTCTGTAGGTAGTTCCAGGTTGTGGCAAAATGGACGTAACGTCTCCATTCCCTCTTTTAGGGAACGAGGGTTACATATGTTGGAGTTCCTAAGGAAACGCCACAACCACTGAACTGTGTTATGAGATTTCACGATGCAGGTGCCGGTAAGCGGAAGTGTGCCTAGACAGATGCAATCAAAAGCCATAACCTTCCCAACGCCACAGGTAAGCCAGGTAATCATTTGCACCTACTTTCAGACAGAGCAAGATGGCGCCAGTATGCTTGGCTGGCCGTCTGCTCTTTGGTCTGTTTGTTTGGTTTTTTTATTTCTCTTTTAACTCACAATATTTTTACTTTAATTGTTTATGACCGTCAAACGCTTTTGAATGTAAGGGATTCTGTTGAGTTTTCATCAAATGCTGATGCTCTGGTAAACGCTAGATCTCTTGTAAATAAGACATTTATTTTGTGCGACTTCATCACCTCAAACAAACTGGATTTTTTATTAGTGACTGAGCCTTGGTTGAGTATGGGGGGGATACAAGCCCCTTTTCTGAACTTGTGGCCTCAGATTGCTCTTTTTTGAACTGCCCTAGACTCTCTGGCAGGGGCGGTGGACTTGCGTCTGTTTTTAAAAGCCGTTTTTGTTGGCGATCTTTAAAGACAATTGTTTTTGAGATTTTAAGTTCTCTTGTTTCAGCTAAATATGGATCAGTTAGTCATCGCTGTTGCCCTCCAAAATCTAATAAGGATTTTACCGAATAAGGAGTTTGCAAACATTGGGCCTCATTCATGAAACACGAGCAGAATTAATTTTTGTGTAAATCATTCGTAAAGCTGTTCTGACGTAAATTTTTGGATTCATGAAAGTGTTCGTATTTTCAAAATGTTAGTTGGTACGAAATACATGTACACCTGCTCCCTACCACCACCTGTGTAAATGGTGCGTAAAACGTTCTGTGTTCTTTTTGGCAAACTGATGACGCTGAATTTTGATGCACTGCCATCATAATATTTTACAAGTTTGTTTGCTCTGTTTTTTGTCTTTTTTGTAGCTGAGAGTTGATAACCTGTTTAGCTTTGGGTAAAATGCAGCGCTTGTCACTGTCACTTTTTACCCATCCGTCCAATCAGTGGGTTACTTTTAATTCACTTCAAGATATTATTAAGCAGCTTAAACCCACCACATGTCTGCATGACATAATTCCAACACATTTACTGCAGGTCTTTGATGTTGTTGGGCCTAGCATTTTAGCTATAATAAATAAGTCCCTTCTCACAGGTGTTGTTCCTAAATATGCAATACCTAATACCTAAAATATGCAACTAAATATGGATCAGTTAGTCATCGCTGTTGCCCTCCAAAATCTAATAAGGATTTTACCGAATAAGGAGTTTGCAAACATTGGGCCTCATTCATGAAACACGAGCAGAATTAATTTTTGTGTAAATCATTCGTAAAGCTGTTCTGACGTAAATTTTTGGATTCATGAAAGTGTTCGTATTTTCAAAATGTTAGTTGGTACGAAATACATGTACACCTGCTCCCTACCACCACCTGTGTAAATGGTGCGTAAAACGTTCTGTGTTCTTTTTGGCAAACTGATGACGCTGAATTTTGATGCACTGCCATCATAATATTTTACAAGTTTGTTTGCTCCGTTTTTTGTCTTTTTTGTAGCTGAGAGTTGATAACCTGTTTAGCTTTGGGTAAAATGCAGCGCTTGTCACTGTCACTTTTTACCCATCCGTCCAATCAGTGGGTTACTTTTAATTCACTTCAAGATATTATTAAGCAGCTTAAACCCACCACATGTCTGCATGACATAATTCCAACACATTTACTGCAGGTCTTTGATGTTGTTGGGCCTAGCATTTTAGCTATAATAAATAAGTCCCTTCTCACAGGTGTTGTTCCTAAATATGCAATACCTAATACCTAAAATATGCAACTGTTAAACCTTTGCTTAAAAAAACAAATCTTGTCCCAACCATCCTCTCCAATTATAGACCTATTTCAAATATATATTTTATTCCTAAAATCTTAAAGAAAGTTATGTTAGAACAACTGCAGAGTTTTCTGGAGCTGAACAGTGTTTTTGAAGAATTCCAATCTGGATATAGAAAATATCACAGTACCGAGTCAGCTTTAGTAAAAGGATTCTGTGATACTCTTACTTTTAGACTTAAGTGCTGCCTTTGATACTGTGGACCACAGAATTCTTATCTCACAACTTAATATGTGGTTATTTAAGGTTGTGCTCTTAACTGGTTTAAGTCCTATCTGAATGATATAACTTTTTCTATTTGTCTTGATGGGTTTTCTTCTTCTGTATCCGTTTTGGACTATGGAGTCCCTCAGGGCTCCATTCTGGCCCCGGTCTTGTTTTTGTTGTATATGCTTCCTTTGGGTACTATTTTTTCTAAACATGGGGTGTCATTTCACTTTTACACCCCTAAAGTAAATTATTTGTATTTGCCCCTAAAGAAAAATAACAAAAAAGGCTCAAGCTCATTAGAAGCATGCTTGTCTGAGCATAAGTCTTGGTTTTCTTTACATTTTTTTGCATCTTAACGAGAGCAAAACTGAGGTTATTGTGTTTAGGCCGACAGGTGTGCCAGGTGCGTTTGATGGTGACCTGGGAGATTTGGTTCACCATGTAAAACCCTCTGTGAAAAACCTAGGTGTTATTTTTGATTCTGCCCTCAAATTTGATAGACAGATAAATGTTGTAGTTAAATATATATTTTTCAAATTAAGATTATTGTCCAAAGCTAAGAGTTTCTTAACATTTGCAGAGTTTGACAGAGTGATTCATGCATTCATTTCATCTCGACTTGACTATTGTAATTCTCTTTATATTGGAATGAATCAATCCACTATTTGTCGTCTTCAGATGGTTCAAAATGCAGCCGCCAGACTTCTCACTGGCACTTGGAAATTTGATCATATTCCCCCAATATTACAGTCTTTGCACTGGCTGCCAATTTGTTACAGAATTGATTTCAAAATTCTGCTTTTTGTTTTTAAAGCTCTGAATGGATTAGCTCCAAAATATCTTTCTGATCTTTTTACTCAAAACAACTCTGCTAGATTTTTAAGGTCATCTCAACAAAGATTGCTGATGGTTCCGAGATCTAAACTTAAGTCGAGGGGTGACTGAGCTATTTCTATTGCTGGTCCAAAATTGTGGAATAGTCTCCCTTTATCTATAAGATTAATTTCCACAGAGTCTGAATTTAAATCCAAGTTAAAAACTAACCTTTTCTCTCAGGCTCACCCACTGTACTATAAACTCCCTATATATCATTGCTTTGCGGTCTTTTTTAAGAAATGTATAATTTGTCTTTTTGTACAGCACAATGATCAAACACTGTTGTTTTTATTTTGTGCTATATAAATAAAATTTGATTTGATTTGATACTTGAAGGGGCCAAAAAGACAGAACTTACTGAGAGAAAGATCATTTGGTGTTCCTTTATTCTTTTCTTTTTTCTTTTGTCTTTTTTTTTAAATGAAAGCTTTCTCAGTCATGACAACTTCATGTTGGAAACGTTTTGGAGCCACATCCTACCCATAGAGAGGTGACATGGAGGATGCACATATGGACTGATGTGAGGGCTGTACTACATATGGAAGAACCCTATGGAAAACAGAAGGAATTCTATCAGAGGAAAGACACAAAAGAAAAATACATATACCGGATTACCTGACGGGATCTCATGTAATTGGCACCTAACACAGTACAAGGGCTGACCGGATGGGCATGCAACATGAGTATTGAGCCTGGCGTCATGCTCCTCCACTGAGCCTGATCGCACAGGGTACTGGAGTAGCTCAGCCAGGGTTCACTTGGTGGGGAACTCTCTGGAAGTGCAGAAAAGGTCCTTCCTTAGGGGGATTTGCCAGGGAAAGGCTGTCGCAAGGAACATCAGGTCAGAGGACCAGGTCCAGGTGGGCCTGTAGGGCACAACCATCATCCAGGCCAAGGGGGCCTCAGTCAGGGAATTAAACAGCTGGCAATGGAGGACTCTTGGGAGGCGATCAGGTCTAACTGAGCTTCCCAAATAAATGCGACGTGAGTGTATAACCACTTTATGGTTGATGTATGCAACCATCGCAGTGTTGTCCATCCAAATGAGCACATGCTTGCCCTGAAGCAGCAGTCAGAACTCGAGCAACGCTAGCAACACCATCGTGATCTCGAGTCAATTTATATGCCACTGCAGACGAGGTCCTGTCCAGGAGCCAGGGGCAGCGTGCCTCTTGCATACAGAGCCCCAGCCCAATCTGAAGGTATCTGTTGTGACAACAACATGCCTTGACACAAGCTCTAAGGGCACTCCTGCCTGTAGAAAAGCAAAATCTGGCCAAGGGCTAAATAAGTGGTGACAGATCGGCATAATGATCACCCGATGTGTGCCAAGCGGTAAGTTTATTTGCTTCAAGAACAGCAACGTTACTAACTCTGTGATGAGAACGTCATGTAGCTTTTAAGTTGTGAAACAATTTTATTGATAAAATCATCAGAGCGGCTTTGACAAGTTGAGTGTGTGTTTGTATGAGTGAGCAAGAGAGTATGTTGATTTAAAAAAACTTTTTATGACACTCATTTTGCAGAAAGTTTTCGTTCAGCTTTCAGAACCAACCTATTTGTTCATCAGTTTCTTCTTGTTTGACTATGACTTCTTCAATCCTCATGTCTTCACTCTCCTCTTTAATAAACGCCATCTTTATAACAGTGTCACGTGGATCTCAGTTGCTTCACCAGGAGTTTTTCCAGTCTATGTGGACACTTTGTCCTGTTTAAGATGAGAATAATGAACAGAATTAGTTCATCAAGGGAGTCAGTCAGAGTGAGAATTAATGGCTTTAAATGATCTGATTAGTCAAAAAAACACTGAAAACTAGCATTACACTGCAAAAAATGCTTTTCTAACTTTTTTCTTCTGAAATCAGGAAGGATTTTCTAGACAAGTAAAAATTATTGTCTTGTTTTCAGAAGTTAAGTTGTTTTCTGTTTGAAATAAGATTATTTAGCTTACCCCATTGGCAGATTATTTTGCTTGTTTCAAGCAAAAACTCACTTAAACTCGACTTGTTTTTCTGAAAACAAGACAATCATTTTTACTTGTCTAGAAAATCCTTCTTGATTCAAGAATTTTTAAGATATTTTGCCTGGAAACAATACAAAAGATATAAGCTAGAAAAGCATTTTTTGCAATGTACAACTGGGAAAAAATAACAAAATCACTGCAAAAAAGGCTTATCTTAGTTTTTTGTCTTTTTTCTAGTCAAAATATCTAAGAATTCTTAAATCAATTTGCATTTACTAGATAAGCAAAATGACGGAAGATATTTAAGTCTTGCTTTCTGAGGAAAAAATATAAATTAAGTGAATTTTGCTGTGTGTGAGTGTATTTTTGTACTGCTTTACCACAGATGTCAAAGTTTGATGCATATATTCATCTGATGTTGTTTTGTGTTGCTGGTATGTGTTCATGTCTGTCTTTTAGATATTCACGTTTTTCTGATGTGAATGCCATGCATTTAGCTGCGTTTACATTTTTAATCGTATAATAACAGTCTCAGAGATGACATACTCCGTTCGTGTTTTCTGGAAATCATATAATGGCAAATGTCGGTACAATGTAACCTTCAGGTTGTGTTTAAATCCCTGTAACACTTGTGGTGTTAAAATGACCGGGCCACAAAAACAGCTTATAAATATCGTTATGCAATATTATCACATCTTTTTGTCAGCTTGTTTTCTTTCAATTAGGACTGGTTTTGTGTTTAGTTTTGGAACGGATTCATCGTAGGCCTCATTAATCTGAGTTTACGTACATTAGTTTTTGAGTGAAAAAAGCATTATTTGTGGATAATTTTATTATTATTGCCGAACTTATATATAAGATCAGGGACAGATGGTTGTATCTCACAATGGACAATCATAATGACATAAAACATCATGCGTTCATCATAATATGAGATTATATACTCAGAAAAAAGCACAGTGACAAGGATAAATATCTTTGAATAATTCATCATGATGATTATCAAACACTCAATGTTTACAAGTTTAGCTTTTTTTAAATGTTGAATTAAAATAAGATTAATTACTCACAACCCAGTATTTTATGACATTTATGTAAGAAGACAATATAAGTGAATGTAAAAAAAAGGCCAGCAAATACGGAATTCAACCCAATAAAAACATTTAAATAACGTTTAAAAAAAACACAAGGCAACCAACTGCATTCAGGGAAACTCTTTCTTGTATTGCTTTAATATGCAGTCTTCACTAAAACTCATTCAGCGTCCTACAGGGAGAGACTAAAGACTAAAAACCTAAAAATATGACAACTAGCATCTAGTTTTGATTGCTATTAAGGTGTTTCTCACGTTATCTAACTGCAAATATAGCATAACTGCCTATTATCTAAAACTAAACATTAACTATAACGCGTTCCACAAAATACAACTACTGGCCAGATTTCCGAGAGGTAAACTAATGCGTTAAAATGCCAAAAACTGCTGTACTTTCCTCTACTTTCTGGAGAGTGTGCTTGAGAAGCGCTGAAATTAATGGGCTTCAGTGCTGGAACTATTGGCTGCTCCAGGACACGCTTCACTTCCGCATTCCTCAAGAGTTGCGACACTTCCATGGGCTGCAATATGAGCTGTTTCTCAACAGCTCTGGGTCAGTTGCCTGCTATGAACTTCCCGAATCACGTGGTGATCGCTGTCGCAACTCTCTCGCTCTCAACGGCTGATTTACAGGGGATTCACATGTAAATCGAAACTAAGTTTGAGTTTGTCGTGGGATAAGACACCATTTCTCAACGCTGTAAACCAAAGCTTACAACTTCTGTCTTATTTATCGGTATGTCCTTCTCATAACTTACATCAGTCATATAAAGGTCACGATATTAGTATGTTTGGTATACTTCTAGTTGAAAGGTTTTTACACTCGAGGAGTCGGGGGCAATTTATCACAAATTGTATTTATTATTCTACGAATTATGATTCAGGGTCATTCTATGGAAATTACCATTTTTCTGTCCCTAGCCTTAATAGAAATATTACACCTAAAAAACACTTTAGGGTTACAATTTGTTTATACTTTAAAATGAAACATGTTATTTGAACAGTTGTACCTTCGTGAGCCATCAATGTGGCAATATTTGTTTTGTTTATTTGAATTAATTATAAAGAATTCCAAGCACCACAGAACTGTTCGTCCCCACAGCCATGCACAGAGAGAAAGTGCTTTATTTTGAGGTCAAAAACAGTTTTTTTCCTACCATTTAAAATTCTAATGTATTCATAACTATCAAATATATGATGTAATAGACATACAAAAACAAAATGCCTAATAAATATTATAAAATATATAAAGAAAGTTGTGTCACTGGTGTTACCGTTGAACAAAAATGTGTTTATTTTGAAATAAAAATCACACTGATAACATCACTTGACTTCCTTGCTCCCATTTCCTGAAGATCTGTGAGAAAAGGCCCATGTGAAGTCCACGGTCTCTTTTCAGTTATCAGAAATCTTCTCATTTATCTCAGGATTTCATATGAAGCTTTTAGTGGACGCCGCTGGTATGACCTACTTTATTGTTAGGGAATTGTAAAAAACTAGAATACAAATGGATTAACCTACTTAATTTAGTGAGTATACCATGATTGACAACATGTGGTTTGATACCTTGCAGCAGACTTTTTATAAAATGCATTTTTCATGAAAATTGTTGAAAAGATCAGTAACACCAGTGACTCCCATTTATAGATAAACTTCATTCAAAGCTATTCATCCAGTTCTTCTGCATAAAATAGCACGAAGATTTCGTGATTCTAACTTTCCTTTATCATTGTTAATCCTCCTTTGGTCAGTTATGGCTAAATTGATTGTAGCTGAGAAGCAGCGACTTTACAGACAGTGTCTTTGTACATTTGTACACGAGTTGTTTTAGTTCAATTTTTTCTTTTTAAATGCTGTTTATGTTCTTTTACTAACTGCTTTCACTAATTGCCAAATGTAACAATTTAATCTCATCTACATAATTATAGTTGAAGAATAAGGATCTTTGGTCTTATATATGTCACTGGTGTTAAGGTCTCTGCACACTGGGTCCGAATTTTTCGTCCGAAATTTTCGCATGTTGAACAATAAATACAACCTCATGTTTACACACGACCTCTGAAACTT